GGGTTTAAAGGTTTTAGGGTTTAGGGGTGTAGGTTTTCAGGGCTTAAAGGTTTTAGGGTCTGGGGGTTTAGGTTTTAAGGGTTTAAAGGTTTTAGGGTTTAGGGGTTTAGGGGTTCAGGGTTTTAGGGTTCAGGTTTAGGTGGGCGGCAGTTGGTTTTGATTGGGAATGTTTTGGGTGCTTTGTAGGCGGGCTGAAATGCATGCTTGCATCATTGAGCAGCAGCTATTGAGGCTGCGGGCCTCCCACCCCCCCCAGGCGTTCCGAACCCTAGTAGGGTTTAGGGTTTAGGGTGTGGGCCTCCCACCCCCCAGAGTTAACGGTAAACAGTTTAAACTCTAAAAGCTCCTATGCCTCGAGGCAGGACTTTTCTTCCCCACGGGCACGCTTGCCCAGCGTGCAGCGCTGCATGCCCACTTCCAGCAGCTGGAGCCTGGGTACAGCTTCGCTTCGTTTTGTGGATTTAAGGTTTAGAGTCTAGGGTGTAGGGTTTAGGGTTTAGGGTCAGAATATGAATCATGACCTCAACCCCCCATGCTGAAAACCTAGACTTAGCCCAAGACCACCGAAACCTAAACCCTAGTTAAATCCTAGTCCCAAACCCTAAACCCCCAAAGCCTTAAACTCCCGAAAATCCTAAACCCTAAAACCCTAAAGCCTGAAACCCTGAACCCTACACCCCAAACCCTAAAACCCTAAAACCCTAAAGCCCTAAAACCCTAAACCCTAAACCCTATAACCCTACACCCTAAAACTCTAAAGCCTTAAACCCTAAAACCTTAAACCCTAGACTCCATAGCACATCAACCCAAAGCGCTAGCCGCAACACCTGCGCATCCAAGGAGTCGTCCTCGGGGAGGCTATTTCTACATCCGACGTGCCTTGACATCCGCAGCCCGTTTAGGGGGTGAGGGCTTTGGGTTTATGGGTGTTGGATTTGGGATCTAGGCTTGAGCATGAACAGCAGAGAGCTGTCATACTGTGAACGCCCCTCATGCGTGCACAGCCGGAAAGGTCCCACTTGATTCATCACGACTGCCTACGGGATGGGCAAGCACAAGCGAGACTGGCACGAGGCAAGGTGGCTCGCTTGCAATCAGTTTAGATTTTTGAGTTTGTTTGCGTACCGGCATGCCTGTGGGCATATGTGCGTGCATGTTTGTATGGATATGAGCTTGCAGTGAGGCATTGCCGATGTGTCTTCATCTGAGAAGTTGCCAAGAAACCAAATTCAAACGAATGAAAAATGGCACGGGTGTCTCCCTGTGCTGGCTTCGGCTTTCGGGGACCGTGATCGATGCTTACAGTCAGCATGTCTTCTTCCTCCGCACATATGTGCTTGCCTATGGGGAAGCGATCACTTCGCCCCGATGCACAAGTACATGTGTGCACATGTCCGTTCGTATATGTCCATAATTGTAGGTCGCCCCTGCTGCCCCGGCTGTTCGTCAGCGAGAGGTTTGGTGTCCATCACTTAGAATATATGTGGTGGTTTTCGATGCTACTTTAGGCTTTCCGCCCTTCTCAGCTCGCCATCGTCATCATCAATATCCCCACGACTACCATCAGACACGATCATCATCACCATCGTCGTTGCTGGTAGCATCGAGAGGAACAGAATCAGCAGCAGCATTAACATCAACATCATGACATCTCGGGTCATTCCACTATACCCCAACACCCTATTCTAAGTATTATTACAGTACAGATATACCCCAAAAGCCTATTCTAATTATTAAGGCCCCTACATTAGACCAACCCTCAGGTAGAAAGGCTTCCGGCCTTCACGGTCGAAGTCGTGGGCCACTTTGCGAGACCGCTCGGCCCAAAAGATCTGCACTCCCTTCTGCGTCCCGGCGACGTGGTGGTCATCGAGCTTCCCCAGCGGATGACTTTGGGCAGCTTTCAGTGCGGAAGTTTTCACGGCTTGACAATCTTACAGACATCCGCCTCGAAACCTCTGATCAGGTCTTTGCCAGAGTGTTCGTACAAAGCTTGGCGGGTTCGTATCTGTGTTTGTGTACAAGTATATGTATGTATGTATGCATGCATGCATGCATGCATGCATGCATGTATGTATGTATGTATGTATGTATGTATATATGTGCACATTCTGTGCAGGTTAAGGCAGATGCTTATATGTACATGCACAGGTGTTTGTGTTTTGTACCTACATATACGCACACACACAAATATATATATATATA